AAGGAATTTTAATTCTTTGATTTTAACTTCTATTAGGGCTTCGCGCGACCTTTGAGTATAGGGAATTCACCGGAGCGCTTAGTTTTATGTTGGAGGTTGTCTCAAGAACCTAAACGCAAGGCAGCGGTGGCAAGCAAATTTATGTTATGGCACAGAAACAGGATGACTGATGTAAAGTTTTAATTAGTAACGAGGAGCAGCCCCTAGAGCTTCGGGCTATCAGACTGTTATGCTGAATTTCCGGAGCCGACGCCACCGCACTGGTAAACTATTTTTTGTCGTTTGGTCATCGCCTGATGACTTACTGCGCCAGTGAAGCTTCCGCATTATCGAATAATTCTGTGTTGGCCGCTTTTAAATATTACGAGATTATTCTGCAGTAGGTGATGGGCTCCAAATCAAATATTAATCTCAATTTTCGACCGAGTTTGAAAACATGTTCCTAAGTTCGCCATTAATTTCCTCAGAAATTAAATCTCGCGTTGTCATTTGTGATACCCCTCTCTCTCTCTCAAAATATTCGCCATATTGAAAACGCACTAAATGGCATGTTTTCGTGAAAATGGATAGGTGTCATTGAGCAAGCTCAGTCTCCTGAGTCTAAGATGAGGTTTTCGCACAGTCCGCCAACGGTTTGTGTAATCACTGTCTCGCGATCCCCGGGACATACCTACGTATAAAAAAAGCGCTACTCATGTCGCTGGTCTCTGTTTGGTGTTAATATACGGCAGTTCAGTCGGCTCTGGTTTTTCCCACCAATCACATTTGCCGAGAGCATGCAAGTTACTGCTGTTATCAATCTACCCAAAGAAGGCTTCCGTTTAGATGCTGATGAACCACCTTAAAGTACTTTTTTAGATTGGAGTTTTGTGAAAGAACGGTATTACCTTATACGCCCCCCTTCGATGTTATCTTGAATAATTTCTTAACGGTTTCCCAATGAACGGGACAAGCATCCACCCTGGAGCTGATCGCTCCCCGGAATTTGGAGAAGCTTCGCGGTGTCGACACAACAACTGCCGGGAATTTTCAGTTTCCGGTAGTAAATCGGTAGGACGTGTGACAGTTATATAAAGTACATAGGTCCGCAAGAACTTTTGACTTGCATTTGGCAGTTCGGACTGATATCGAGTCCCGTGAATGTTTGAAGAAACCACTTTTTCGTTATCTTACGGCCCCCTAAAACTGCAACTGAAAACAAACTGACACATACTTCGCTCCTGGTTTTGAGGTTATTTTAATCCCTGACGCCAAAGAGGACAGCTGACGGCCACCCTTCGCTTTCAAATGTGCCGCATAGTTCACTCACGACAGAGACATGCTGAATACAGAGTGCCAGGAAGGCACCTATCTGATGAGTCGAGTTGACTTGTCTCCTGTAGAGGTCATCTCTCTCTCTCGATATTTCCATTAAACCTCAGAGAATCTAGATTACCTTGCCCTGCAAGTATGTTTCTTAAAACCATTATGAATGTATAACGACACCCCGGATTGCTAATTTTCAGGATAAAACCCGCATGCCTGTGCTTGTGGTAGTTCGGTATAATGAAGGCATCAGGGTAAGTACTGACGCCATCCCCTTTATAACAATGTCAGGCTATCTTTATTCGACCGTGTTTTTTTTTATTTTTGAGCGAAGTGCAGTCACCGCGCAGATATACGGTAGCTTCAACGGGCAGTGAAATAGAAAAGGATAGTCTACAAATTAATGGTGCATCGCCGTAGGCGAAAATTGGAAGACAGGAGTCGTGCGGAACCCTATGACTTCTATGAACAGCTTCAGGTATGCAGCCGCAGAATGCTTCGGCGCGGAGTGCCACTCCCGACTGGTCAGTCCACATTAGAAGCCTTTAATTCGACTCTGTTGGATATACGTCCACACCAAAACCATAATCCCATGTTTTCTGAGGCCGTGTTTCTTCTCAACCCCCCTTGGCTGGTTTCGATATCGGCAGGTCCATGGACCAGGCCATATAACTTTGTATTCGGGGCTTGCCGCACGGGACGTTAAAGCGTTTAATGTTTTAGTTGTTTATGGAAGGGTCGAGGCTAATGCTAACATCTACAAATTGTGGGCAAGAAGGCAAATTTACTCCTGAAAATAATCAAGGAGTCCCCTTCATTACTTGATACTATAACTATTGCGACTAGTTAAGACTAAAGCATTTTTCGGCTACCACAAATAGCGTTTGCTAAATGAAACGAACGCATTCGAAGTTACAGCAATAAATACGCCTTACGACATAGCTAGAATGCAATTAAAGGCACGTGATGAACAGATAGTTACGATTTTAAAACAGTATTCTAGAGTCGCCTTTGAAGATGTACCTTTGGGTAAGCAAGCCAGGTATGTAATATATTAAAAGGAGCAGAGGCTAACATTGCTAGAGCTGAGACTTTACAACTTATTCGTACGGAACTAGGAGAAAACAGAGGCAAACAGACGAAAGGCAGTTCAAGTACATCTAAAAAGTCTAGAGGACCGGGCAAATTTTTTTGAAATTATTTTGCCGGCTCAAATGTATAGTTTGGTTTGCCATTGTCCGGATACTGTTTTGGCATCTAGAAAGATGGAAAAAGAAAAAGATTTGATAAAAAAGGAGGAAATAATTACAACGAAGGTTTATGTTGAAAAAGCAAAGAACCGGTAAAAACATGTCGGTGTGATGGTGTTGGAGTGATTTAGAAAAAAAATATTTAGGTTTGATTAGTAGACAGAGCATCGTTGAGTAAGTCATAAGTAGCGCGACGACTAAATTACTGATGGAGATGTATTCCAGCAAAGTGATAATTAGTTTCAACTGCGTTGGTGTGGGACGGCGGCAAATAAATGAAAAACAGACGAAAACACTACTAGTAGCGTTTACAACTTGCACTAGTTAAGGTGACTAAATTGAATATTTGTGATTAACAATGAAACTTTTATAAACGGTGGCAACAATACGGAAATATTACCATTGGGAGGAAAAATTTGTATTGCTCTCCGATGTAGAAGATTGGTCCGAGAATGAAAAGGGGTGACAGGAAACGCAGCAGAGTACGCCA